AAGTGGACTCAATTCGCACTATTTCTAGCAGTCTGCAAAAGCTGATTGAGGTTTTCTATAAGCAAAAAAGAGTAAACCTCTAATGGTGAAGTAGAATGTGGAACAAGTGGGCTTGCCTAAGCCTCAAACATATGCACTTGTAGTGGTGAAAACTGGAGAATATTGTAGGTGACTCTTTTTAATGCACACACACACCACTATATTCTACTCCTAAACTACTTTCTACTGAGTGAACACTAGGTGTCACTTACATGGTACTGTGATGTCTGTTAGGTCTCCAGATTAGAGATGGGGGAAGGTTAAATGTTTATATTGGATCAAATATTTACCAAAATTTAAAGAATTGAAAAGTGGGAGAAAGAGAAACTAATTTGTTCAAAAAAGTCTCACTTACCTTGAATCCTGTTTTTCTTACATATTCTTGCATGCAACTCACATGATATTCCACTATTGTCAGTTTGGCACTTTCTGAACTTCTCTGCTGAAGGGTCACTTCACATAATAACTACATAGTAGTTGCAAAGTAGAAGAAACCAGCATGGACATTTGATCCTCCTAATTAAATGCAAAAGGGAGGGGTGCTGAAGTGCAACTCAAAGGCCACACTCTGAGGCTTCCAATGCAGCCCTTCCACATCACCTCCTTTCCTTCTTAATTGGGTTGGAGGATATCAAATGAACAGTCACATACTCTATGACAAGGGTGGGCAAAGGGCACTGCTGGACCATTTTTATGGCTCCAGCCCCCCCCCCCCCCCCCCCCCCCCCCCCGAGATCAAGGCTTTGCTTCCAGATACCTGCAACACTCTCCACAGTGCATGGGGACATTTTTGCTGCATTTTCGGTGGGTCCTCTGGACCATTTTAGGTACAAGAGAAGACTTTTTAAAAAAGTCTTTTGTTAAAAAAAGGAAAAACCCTCTTCTGAGTCTAAAATGGTACAGAGTCCCTCAAACCCACACCTTCTAGAGGAATTCAGTATACTTTTTGGTCCAAACATATTTTGTTTTTGTTTTTGTTTTTTTGCTAGGCACAACCTTCCAAATCCTGTGGAGTAATGCCTCTAACATCCCTGTTCTGGGCATTACAGTTTAAAAACCATGCTATCTCTGGTCGCTGGTGATGAGGGCTCAGAGATAACAGCAAAAGAAGTCCTCCCTACAGACATTACTCAGAGGCAGACAGACTGACAGTTTCCTCTACTGTTATCTATAATCAATGATGAGAGATAACAGTTTTAAAAAACTTTACATGCTTAGATCTCAGCCTAGATTTGCATGCAGAGAAGGTGTTGCATGGAGCTAAGCTGTACTTGCAGCAGGAAAGTGACTGCGTGGTACTGAACTTTGCCTTGCAGGCAGGAAAGCTGTTCCACATGTAATTGAATGGTGCTATGTAGACTTCACTGGAAAATGTGTATGTTAAGTAACAATTATGTTGGGCTTTATCCACTATGGTTCAGCCCTGCTCAGTGCCTGTGGCTACATCTACACTGCAGAATTAATACTGTTTGACATCACTTTAGCAATGGGTCAATGCTATGGATTTCTGAGATATGTAGTTTTGTGAGATATGTAGCCTTTTCTATCAGAGAGCTCTGGTGTCACTACAAACTATAAAGCAGTGTCAAACCGCATTAATTCTGCAGTATGGCAGAAACCTAAAGTGAAATTGAGTCTCTGGGCTGAAAAACCCCTCTCCCATTCAAAGAAATGGAACTTTTATAATCCTAGGAAATTGTCTTATCTAGCTGTATGTGTGTGTTGTCTCGAAATCTCTTGAGCCCACACTAAAAGTCTCCCCCCTTTTTGTTTTTACTATTAGGTGTAACATTTAAAAATCCTCAAGAAAATGATGGTTATTAAGCGTGTGATCAACAATATCTATTGGTTCTACTGGCAATTCCAGCTGGTCACAATGACTTATCTCATGGATCCTTTTGAATGGTGGGTCTTCCACAGTTTTCTCCTTGTTACTTTTATGCTGTCAGCATACGTTTTTTATACTGTTGTTCCCCCTCAGATTCACATGGTTCTGGGGCATGTTTGCCATTTATTTGGCTTGCAACCAGGAAGTACTATTTCAGCCGTGATGTGAACTTGTCATCCATAACATTGACTGGGCTCCCCCCCCCACACCTCCTGATATGTTTTGTATGTTTTTAAGTGTTGTTGAGTACAACCAGTGGAGACTCTGGAATCTATAGAAACATGTGAACCTTTTTTATTCTTTGAAAAAAGCCTGAACGAAGGCAACATGTTTACTTTCTTCTTACACCACTTATTGACTGTCTTTACTTGTCTGAAAAAACAATAGTGAGTGGAATGTTATCTGAAAATCTTACCTTTTTCAGATGAATTTGTTCTCTTCAAGTTCTTGTTCTGTAATAGGTTCACTGGGATGTTCATTTGTTATCAAAATTTGGTCTCACAACAGTTGTTATTGTAATTATTATTATTCTATTATTCATTATGTAGAAGTTTTCTGTGACAGACTGTCAAAAGTGAATAAAAAGTGAAATAAAACAGAAAGGACAAAGTGAAAAGTTTTTGTAGCATACCTTGAGCAAAGTCTATTATGTTGTAGAGGATCTAGGAATTAACTTTAGACTGTTGTGTCACACCATGGACCCAACTCAGATTTAAGCTCTGTTTTATACATGCTTATTTGGGAGAAATATTCACTAAATTTAGTGTGACTTATGATCTGAATAAGTTTTTATCGGATTGCACAATTATTTACACTTTGTTGTACAAAGTGTTGATTTGGGGGGATGCAGACAGGCGGCCCTGGGCTGCCCTGGAAAACGGAGATTGAGGCTGAGGCTGCCAGACCCGTCAGCTCCAATCCTCTCTTTCGCTGTCTAGGAAAGGAGTGCCAAAACACTGCTCTTTTCATAGGCGGTGAAAAGGGCACCTGAAGAGCCACCACATGACTCTTTTGCACTTCTTTCGGTGTAGCGTGTAAAAACGCTGCGCTGGGAGGACGTCCTGACAGCACGTGCCATGCATAGTGGCATGCACTGTGATGATGTCCTTGGGAAAGGGTTGGGCGCCCGGCGTGTGGCTGCCCCTCCCCTTCCCTGCCTCCAAGATGGCGCAAAGCGACATCTGTAGAGTCTCTTAGCTTTATGCTCATTTATGTGAAATGCAACTATCAAATCCTTCAGCGGAAATCAGAGGTACAATATACATTCCTAAACAGAGATTTATAGTTCAAGTTATCTGGTATTTATCTGATATGCCAACATTTTCTAGGTTATCCACAAGAAGACAGAAGGAGCAGTGGCGTTCGCACACCGGGTGTCACCTGTTGCAGGGGGAGGAACTTCCAGGAGTGGGACTTTCAGCAGGGTTTCCAGCTGTGCGAGGTGCACGGGAGCATGCAGGGCACATGGGAGCGTGCATGGGGAGGACAACCATGTGTGCAGTGTGCATAAGTGCGTGCATGGGCCAGAGCTCCCTGTGTGTAGACCACAGCAGCATGCACAGCGTGTGTGGAGCGGCATGTGAGTGTGCATACCAGAGCAGTGTGCATGGGGAGGCCACGTGTGGGTGGTGCACGCACATGGAGCGGCATGTGCAGATTGTGTGAGGTTAGTGCAAGGGGGCTGACAGGGTGTCACCCCCTTTCTAGGGTGTCATCCAGTGCAGCCTGCACCCCCTGCACTCCCCAATGATGCTACTGAGAAGGAGCCATGCTGGATTAAGTTACTCAAGTCTTTTGGCTATTGTGGTTATATTGCAGTAGAAAATTCAATAAGTTAATTATGTGTCATTTGAAGAAGTAGTTAAAGTTGTCTGTCCTGAGCTTGTCCCTGTCCCTGTCCTTCATGCCATATCTAATTTTATAAAACTTTGTCATGTCCTTCCTGTATTCCCATCCTTTTCTTTTTAAACCAACTGTTGCCTCCCAAAAATACAGAAGCTTTAGTCTGGCTCTACAGAACCTGTTGCCTTACAGATACTGCTGAATTCAAATTCTCATCAGTCCTAGATATTACAGTCAGAGGTGGAGCATGATTTCAGGGGTAATTAATTTGCATTGATCCCTATTTTAGCTACTCTATCTGCATGCATAGGTTGGTTGTTAAAATTTACATTTGTTTGTTTGTTCATGTATTAATTCATTACATTTCTTTACTATCCCAGTAGCAAAGCCCTAAGGGCAGCTCACAACGCAAACCTTAAAAGCAGAAAAGACAAAAATGTAATCAAAATGAGATGCAAATACAGAAAAAAGACAAAAGTTTCCCCTTGATATGAATGAAACCAAAGAGCCAGCTTTGTCCAAAGAGACTCCGTGGTGATATGGCCAGCATGATTGTACAGAATGCTGTTACCTTCCTACCAAAGTGGTATCTATTTATCTGTTTGCACTTTTACATGCTTTCGAACTGCTAGGTTGGCAGAAGCTGGGACTAGTGACGGTAGCCCATTCCATCTTGTGGCACTTGTGTCTCAAACTGCCAACCTTCTGATCTTATGATCATCAGAACTGGTGTCTTAATCACTAAGCTACCACGTCCCTAAATACAGAAACATCGTAAAAATAAACATAATTTTAAAAGTTTTAAAGAAAGAAAGAAAATCAAACAAAAAAGTAAAAGCCATCAGAAGAACAAAAGCTAGGAATACATTAACACTGTTTTGTTTTTTAACAGAGGGACTAAAAAAAGTCTGAGAGCACTATATGTCTTTCATCTGATAGTAAAAAGATCACAAACTGACCCTTGTGGAGAATGCAGTTCCCTTCAGAACAGTTTCAAACCACTCTGTCAGGCAGAACAACCATGAACAGCTTCCCGGACATGTCTAAACTAAATCTGAGTTTATTAAACTTTATTAATTATTAATTAAATTTATCTCTCACTTTTCCTAACCAAAAATGGCATGAAAAGTGGTGAAAAATGTAAAATTCAAATAAAAACCAATACAATCAATGTATAAAATCAAAACACAGAGGTTTTTAGTTTAAAATACTTCAATAAAAGGAAAGGAGAGCTGGTGTGGTTTAGTGGTTTGAGTGTGGGGCTAGGACTCTGGGAGACAAGAGTTCAAATCTCTGCTCAGGCATGGAAACCTACTGGGTGACTTTGGACAAATTACACTCTCTCTACAGAAGAGAAAAGCAGTGGTGGCAAATTTCTGAATAAATTTTGACAAAAATACCCATGCTAGAGTTGCCAGCAGGTCAGAGTTGATCTGAATGAACATAAAACATGTATGATAAAAGTAAACAACAGTTCACTTTGACTATAATAAGATCTAAGGTGCCAGAGGTCTGTTTGAATAAGAAGGTCTTTGTCTGCTGGCAGAAACACAGCAGAAAGGGGTCCAACCTAACTTCCCTCACCAGAGAGTCCCAGAACATAGGAGCAGCCATCAGGAAAATCCTTTTTTTCTTCCCTTTCACACTTGCCTCAGGGCAGCTGTATTAAGGGAAGTACCTCCCTTGAAGATCTGTAAACTCGTAAAGAAGAATACAGTCCTTCAGATATCCTGGCTCTCCAAGTTGTAAAATACTTTACAGGCTCTAGGTAGTACTTTGACGTGGGCTCAGCTTGTTGTGGGCTCAGCATTTGCATGTGTTTTAAAGTATGCATGTTGCACTTGGTGCAATTTTGGCACAGTAGAAATCCATGAGTGAGATCACAAGAGGAGATGGGATGAAAAACTGATGGGTTCTTGGAGGGCCTGGGGAAATCTCCCAAATGGACTGGCGATGAGCCTTACACAGGCTCCAGCAGCCGTACAAGGACAGGAAAAGTTTGCTACATATCTGTAATTTTCTCTGGGATTCGAGCCCTAGTGGAATAATCCCTGCAGCTGCTGGTCCTGATTCTCAGTCCAGATAGGATTTTTTAATATACATATTTTTAGACTGCAGTTTCAATATTGTGTAGAAGAAAATAACTGCCTCCACCTAGTGGTGGCAGCAGATAGTGCAGATTGTAAAAGGGAAAAAAAGCACAGCATTCATCTCTCATTTGCATATTAAAGTGGCACTTTTTATTTTCTATAAGTTGAGAGAAATTAAAGAACCAAAAAGTTCTTAGGGTGCTTATCCCTTCTTGCTAGTCACTCTTAGTAAGAAGAAGCCTGCTGCTCCATGTTCTTTTACCCTAAACACAATTGGCCGTGGAAGAATAGGGACTGTAAAGAGGAGGAGGAGGAGACTGGGAACCCATTTTCCTCTGGTGAAGAAAAGACCAAAGAGCTAAATCATTCTTGTTAATAATTAGACTGTAGCCAGGAATCTTTTGCTGAATCAGTAACTATTGGGTGAAAATCACGAATACTCTGTCCTCCTAAGCTGAAATAGGGTGCAGTATCTATTGGCAGGGACAGCAAAGACCAACTGGAGACCTTGCCCATGCTGCCCATATCTCTTGCCACTCCATGCTGCTTGAGTCCTTATGAGGCACTCCATCCACTGCTGCCTCCTGTTGAACTAGGGGATTGTCCTCACAGGCCAAAAACCTCAGCTTCCCCCTGGGCTTGCATTGTTTAGATCAGATGATGCAGGCCAAAGGGGCAGGATAAGGCCCAATCCTGCCTGTCCAGATGCAGATCCAGAGGACCTGGCCTGACCCAAGGGTAAACAGCCTGTAAAGGTATTCCCCATTGACAAAGTTGTCGTGTCCAACCACAGTGGGTGGTGTCATGTCTGACCACAGTGGGTGGTGCTCATCTCCGTTACTAAGCTGAAAAGCCAGTGTTGTCAGAGACTACTCTGTGATCATGTGGCCAGGATGATTGCACAGAATGCTGTTTACCTTCCCACCAAAATGTTACCTATTTATCTACTTGCATATGCATGCTTTCAAACTGCTAGGTTGGCAGAAGCTGGGTCTAGTGACAGGAGCTCACCCCACCATGCAGCACCCCAGGCTTCGAACTGCCAACCTTGCAATCAACAGAGTTAGTGTCTTAACCACTTGAGCCACAAAAATCAACATTAATATGGAATTAAACTATTAAGAGTATTAAAAACAGTTTAAAACATGCTGTTAGAAACAGTACAATTTAAAACAATACAGCACCTTCTTAAAAGCCCTTTCCGTAAAAACTTTCAGTTCTAAAAAACTGTTGGAATAAAATAATAGTCTTTGCCTGCCAAATGAAAGACTGCAAAGTAGGGACCATTCTAGCCTCCCTAAGAAGGGAGTTTTAGAGCCTAAGGGCAGCCACTGAGAAGGCTCTGTCTCATGTCCTCATCAAGTGTACCTGTGGTGATGTGCGACTGAAAGGATGTTCTTTCCTGCAGATCACAGGGTTGAGGCAGGCTGACATGGGCAGATATATTCTGTAAGATAGCCTGGATCTAAGTTGTATAGGAAATAAACAAAATAGAGATATTGTTCATTTGAAAAACAA